TGTCCTTCGTCTCTGACACCAGCATTGGCAGGTGGTATTTGGACTACTTTGTGGTCTTCAGTGGTTTTTGTAGTAACCCTGGTCCTATAGAAAAGTGACCGCTGACTACCAGCAGGGTTATGAAATGGCTGTGGGTGAAATAGTACATTAACTCCAAGCCCAGATGAGTGGCTTAGCTGGGGCAGAGCTTTCAGGAAAAATGAAATCAAAACACAGTTAGGTGTGGACCAGAGCCCCACATTCTGTCCGGAGAGCACCTGTCCTGTCATGCTGAACCCTTCTCACAGATGGCTTCATCAAATCCGCATTCCTGGAGGAAGCAGATGGCAGGACAGAGGCAGGGCTGAGCTCCCTGGCCTCCAACCCGCCCTGCTGATTTCTGTCAGAGGAAAAGCTTTTCTTCTACCTTCTTTGGTTTAGTTTTGGGGGNAAGAGTGAGTGTGGGGACCAATTCTATTTTGGAGACACAGTGACTTAGGAGTGTAGGTCATGAGGGTGGCTTTGGGATTGGAGACCAGGTCTGCCTATGCACTGGGCACCTTATTGGCCCTCAGCCGTCCCTATCCGTCCCTTCCTGTACTGCTTTGCCTTCAGCCCTGGCTTCATGATGAGGCCATTTTCCAGGGCCTCTGAGGTGACCACAGGAGATAAAACTGAAGAGGCAAATAGAGGTGAAGTTTATTTCCATAGCATTAGATGCACTTCAATTCAGATTGCAAAGCCACAACTAAGCATTCAGTTTGATCTGCCATCTTGTCCAGGCCTATGCCCCTCCCTGTTACTGTGGTTCAAAGGTCGCCTGGTTGCTGGTGGGTGCAATTAGGAAGTGTGGTCCCACAGAGTGCTGTGATCACTGGGCACATGGCGTAACCACTGGGCATATACTTGGTTTCATGTGAACATTAATCTGAGTTCTGTAGAGTGTTGTGGCTAAGAGTGAAGGGGCTGATCTCTGGATGCCTTCCAGATGCAGATGAGCTTGGTGGTTCCTTTTTATACATCATCAGAATGTCATGTGAACTTCATTTCAGTGATCTTTGAGCAAACCGCCCCAAGGGCAAAGACGCTTTCCCTCCCCCTTGTGGTGGCAGCACTTGGGGTGGGCACTCCTTGTCGTATGGGAAACCCATCTTGGAACTGGAGTGGATAGCACTACTGTACGTCTCTGTAGTCACTTTTGTCTGTGAATCTGAAGGTGCCATTGGCAGGACATGGGACTTTCAGCACCTCTTATTCTCCTTATAGAGAACAGAGCCACTGCCAGAAGGAAGAGGAGATGAGGCTGGCAGGAAGCTTCTCGGTGTAACTTCTACCTCCAGAAGGTGCAGGGCATCTACAGAGAGCCTGGATCCAGGATTAGTCATCTATGACGCATCCCATTTTGTGACAGAGCTCCGTGTCAGTGGCAACGTAAATGGCGCGACTCCCTATGGGCATTCGCTTTGTTGTCTCGTTCTCCAGGGATCAGCGGTAAGCCCCGCGGGTCGGTCCCTTGGTGTGGTACCACGCATAGGTGGGAGCACTGGACAGGTGGCTTTCCCACTTAGTTTCATTATAAAACATGGACAATATGGATGGATGGCCTCCCCCGAAACTATTGACTTATTTACTGGTTGCGAGAGCTGTGACTGGGAACACTGCCAAGTTGTCCTTCGTCTCTGACACCAGCATTGGCAGGTGGTATTTGGACTACTTTGTGGTCTTCAG